ACCCATAGATCGGCCAGCATAGGACGCACCGATAGGTCGGACAATACCAGTCTCACGCGTTATCAGTGCACGCTCTGACAGCGTACACATATAATTTACTCAATGTGTTTTTTATTCCTCGTTGTTTTATCCATTCAATTCAAAACACATTTCATGGCTGATTAAGATCTAAGGCTACGCCTCATTCATCGGTAGGCGAAAGTGAATTCGGGCAAATGACTCAAGGATACGCTATTGATCGTAAAGTCTGGGTTCAAGTTGGGTCGCCTTTACTTTAAGTAAAGGTTACTTTGAGCTGCCATCTGTGCATCGGGCTACATCCAGAGTTTCTAGGATTTGTTTAGTCCGAGTTAGAATCGCATTAATTTTAGCTGATCTGAGTTTGAGTCCACGCCCACTGCTGCTGAAACAGTGAACCGGGTCGGACTCCAATTTCCGCGAGTCCAAAATCGGCTCCGACTCTGCAAGACTTGGACACACCGCTGACCCTAACGCAGGGTATGACCGATGACGAACATAATCACCGCATTGCACCGAACATGGTCACCGCACTGTACCGAACTTGATCACCGCACTATACCAAACATAATCACCGCACTGTATACAACATGATCACCACACTGTACCGAACGTGATACACGGCACTGCACCGAACATGACCACCACCCTGTACAGAGCATGATCATCGCACTGTACCGAACATGGTCACCTCACTATACCGAAGACCCAGGGCCGCACGCCTGCGTGAAGTCTATCCCATCCGTCACGGGGCTCAATAACAGCTCTCACGTACAGTTTACCATCCCCCTCACGGGATTCAGTGGCAGCTCCTACGTGTAATCTACCATCCGTCACGGGGCTCAATGACAGCTCTCACGTACAGTTTACCATCCCCCTCACGGGATTCAGTGGCAGCTCCTACGTGTAATCTACCATCCGTCACGGGGCTCAATAACAGCTCGTGCGTGTGCTTCACCAACCCCCTCACGGCACCCAACTGACAGCCGCGCGTGCTCTGCCATTCCTGATGAGGTTCGGTGACAGGCCTTGTCGCGATGAATTGTCTGACGCCAGTCAAAAGTCACTTGATCGTCACTATCAAATCGTAAGACATTTTCACGCGTGGACATGTGTCGCCACCTTTGTCATCACAGCTACTTTCACCGCCACGCCCTTCCAAATGGGCGAGTGAGTCTCACGCTTTGAACGTGGCAGTGGACGTCCCATTTGGACGTGACTTCCGAGAAAGAACTTCGATTATGCACGTCAGGAAGCCTGACAGCACCCAATCAAACCGCTGGATGCGGCAGCTTCGGCGATCGCATGCAGGCGCGTCACGCTGTCGGCGACTCCTCCGTTATTGTTTCTACTATATTTGCAAAGCCGCAAGGCCAGCTTTTACATTAGCATGACGTCCTATTTTTGGCTGCTGCCGAGGTTGGAGGTAGCTGTTATCATCACTGGCAGTGCTTCGAGGGCGTTTTCGTACTCACTGAATTAGTGGTACTCGCTGAGCAGTAGACCCAACACGAGACGCTGGTGCACGGTACTGGAGCAGCGGCGAAGGATGACCAAGTACACTGTTTACATATAGACCTACCATCTACTTATGGTAGACGAAATCTTATCAGAACGTGGGCTGTAAGGCGTGAGTTCTCGGCCCATTGACTGCAACATTGTCCACATGTGTCTGCCGACACCGGTCCGATGAGGATTGTGAGCCGGCTTGATGTGGGCAAGGGCTGACTGCAAGGACCACTCACAAAAGCTGGGCTTACCGGAAAAACACCTGGGAGAATGGCAGCTAGGGTGAACATAGTAGCGAGACACCTACAAGTGATTGGGTCGTCGCATCCTGAAATGACAGCGCGACCTCATTGCACGGGAATACATCGGACCTTAATAAAAAGGTTACCTCATTGCTCAATAATTATCAACGTCATAGCATCTGCAGCGAAGTCTCTGATCTCCTCTGGGATTTTCTGCATGCGGGCTGACAGGCTTTTCGATTTGCTTCAACGGTGTTGAACACGCACAACGATTTAGGATGCAGTTGTGGGATGCTCTTTGCTATCAAATCACTTCACATTTATAAAAAAAACCACACTGGCTACGCTTTATGATGGGAGCGCGCAACGCTGGATATCAGTGAATTCTGTTATCCCATACATTTGTTTTTCTATCTCACCTAGTCGCAGGATCATGTCAGGTAAATTCCCTATCACGAAAGACGATTGCTAATTCCAGTTCTGACGGCGAAGCGCGGGCTTGTATTGGTGTTGGTGAGCAAAACGAAACGCCGCTAATAAGTGGTCTTTGTGAAAAGATTTTGCAGCTTAGTTCACCCTCGAAGTGGATTTGATACACTTAGGAAGAGGCCAGCCCAGGTTAATCCGGTGTTAAATGGCTCTGACTTTTTCACACCAATAATGAGAACCGATCTCGTTAACGTCCTCCAACACGCGTTTGCTGTCATGGACACGTTTCTATTTATATTTAAGCGCGCCTTTCAGCGGGCCGCAAGCGACGACATCTGAATGGGTGGCGCGGCCGCTGCTTCGGTGCCGGCTCCAACTAATGGAGCCCGAAGCACGGCCGGGCGTGTGACGCAGCGCGCTAATGGAACGCCACACGCCCTGTGACGGTGACGCCAAAGAAATCGTCACGCAACGAAAACTGGGACATGCGGCAGCGTTGGAGGCACTGAGCCGATATTGACCCCACTAAATAGGCCGGTGCAGTACAGCTGCTCTTGCCCACGAACAGACGTGTGGCGGCAAGCCGGGATGGTGACATTGTGCCCTCCTCCCCCCCCCCTCGGTCCCTGACTGCACGTCGGTACGGATGACGGAAAACCAACCCGCCATATCCAGAAGCCACACCAGGCGCCGCCACCGCACACTCCACAGATGGCGCACCTGGCGCTGAGGGCGCCGCAATCCCCCTGCGTCGGCGGTGCCAGTGGAGCGATACACTGACCCCCAGTCCCCTCAGCATTCCCGACCACCGCGGCCGCGCCGGCGGCCGAGGCCACTGGGCTCCGGACACTATTTCTATTTCGACGGTTCTGCGATACGCTGTTTCAAAATCGCACATGATCCAACGACGAATGTCTCCACCATCCGGCGATTAATGGCTTCGCGTCGCCATGGCCATTCATCTCGTGATACGTTCTCCGACACGAACCCTTCTCCATTTATCACCCTGCCCCTTCCCCACAGGCAGGCCGATAACATGCAGCCTTGACGGGCTGTGCGCTGGTGTTGACTGGGCGGTGTTGCCAGGCCGCCTCGCCAGCCCTCCCCGGGGTAGCACCCGGGCATAGGCTTAGCAGTCCGGCGAGGCTGCCCGCCTCGCCAGCCCTCTCCGGGACAGCACCCGGGCATAGGCTTAGCAGTCTGGCGAGGCTGCCCGCCTCACCAGCCCTCCCCGGAGTAGCACCCGGGCATAGGCTTAGCAGTCTGGCGAGGCTGCTTTCTAGATATATAGATTAATGGCTAAGTATCTAATAGCTTCTACAGAGTGGATTTTCGAGCTTCCACGTCAATGTGCATGCAACAGCCCCAGAAGACGACACAAGACAACGCAGATGACAGTGACGCACTACACGTCAACATTTATTTGTCTATTTTACAAACTTGTCTCGTCTTGGATTAGGGCGTTTAGCTTCCTAGGCTCAAGCCTGGGCTTTCTGCCAGCATTGCTAAGAAAAAATGTCATGGAAACGGCTGCAGCGCAATGGCAAACATGCATGACTGCCTCAAATAAACACGTTTGGGATGGCAGCATGTGATATCGGGCGCCCATGGTAAATGCTCGGACGACTGCATACCGTCTTCGGGCGTACGACAGCCTCGCATCAACTTCGGCACCACATGGCGGCGCTCATCCCGACTGCCGGGCACCAAACGTGACTCTCCTCCTCCCCCCCACCCCACCCCTCCCACCCCGCCAAAAACGCAGACGGGCGTGAGCGTCACGAGGCAGCCACTTAGGCAAACATGTTGTCACTGCCATCTGCTGTTGTTGATACCGTTTCGACGGGCCCAACAGCAGCGCAAACTTCAGTCCGAAGAGTTGCGCCATCCGGCTGTGCTCCTTCGTCACCTTTTCCGGCCGGTTGTCACCCGCTACCCTGAGCTGGGCACCAGGTCAGGTTTCTGAGCCGGCACCGCCCTGTGTATGTCACCGCTAGGGGCCGCCCCGCCCCGCCCCGTCGCCAGCACCACAGACAGAAACAGTTCAACACGCGCCGGCTGCCCCCCCCCCCCCCCACGCACACTCGGCGTCAGCGGCCCCAGACCTAGCGGCGTCCGGCGGCTACAACTCCGCCGCGCCGCCCCGACCCCTCAGCGGAAGCCCGAGGGGCGACGGCCCCGACCGCGGCTCGTGTGCGCCAGGCCGCGCCGCCGGCGGTGCCGCCCCGCTCCCTCAGGGGAGCCGGGGAGGCCGTGCCGCCCGGTCGTGTTTACCGGCATAAGTTGCCGGCCGACAGCGCAGCACTTTGACAGGCGACGGAAGCGGGCAAGTTTTCGCCCGCGGCGGGATCCGCCGCCGCCCGCCTCAGCGCTGCCGACCGGTGCCGACCTGCCGGCCGCACACAAACTCTGCAAACTGGTCAACAGCCGCGCCGCGCCGCGCCCCACCGTGCCGACTGAGACACCGACCTCCGCGGCCGCGCGCGCCGCCGCAGCGCCGCCGCCGGCCACATCGTCCGCGGCAACTGACCGGAGCTCATCCGACGCCATCACAATCGTCGCGATCCCAATAACGCCGGATCACGAGCGCGATCAACAACTTAGCTCCCATCGCTATCCATCGCAAGCACTCGAAATTTAATCCCTGCAGTGTTTATCGACAAATAGCGCCGCTTCGGCCAAGGACGCGGCAAACTATCAGTTCAGCTGCTCTTGCGGAGACGACAGGTGGGCATGATCTCGCCGGTCGCTCCCGCCGTCGCGTGCCCGCCTCCGGGGCGGCCCCGGCCGAGCGACGCTCACCTGTTTGTACACCTGCCACATAAGCCGGTTGGTGCGGAACTGGGCGTGTCGTTTGCGCTGCGTGACGCAGTCGCGGATCTCTGGCAGCCGTCGCCACAGCCGCTCCGTGTGCTGGCGCATGTCGCGGTAGTCGAACGCCCGGCGCACGCCTGTTGAAGGGCGAAGGAACAAGTGGACGGTCAGATGGCGGCGGAGGTCCGGACGAACCGACGTTCTCCCGCGAGAGACGTCCGAACAAACCGACCGCCACACACCGGCAGACAGCCGCCAAACGGCTGAGAACTGGCAAAGTGATAGGCAGGTCACAAGCGGGCGCTACGGACCCACTCGAAGCTTCGTGCACAGTACGGAGCGGTTCCATGTCAGTAAGCAGAGTCCGTCTGGCGGGAGGCCGCTACGAGGCCGGCTGACCGTGGCCGGGACCGAAGACGCCGGGTCAGCCAGCCGGCCCCTGACCACGCCCGCTGACCAGCCGGCGTCCGTCGGCGCCACGCCGCCGGGCGCGCGTGCCGCCAGCCGTGACGCCGCCATTTGTCACGCACGTCAGGCGCGGCTGGGCCGCCCGCCCCGTGACCAGCCGCTGTCTGCGGCGCCGCGCTAACCGTGCGAGCTGGCGTCGGTCGCCGCTGACAAGCTCATGGACTGGCGGCAGAGGGTGCCGGCCGTGACACCGGGTCCCGGTCAGCGGCCGGCGCGTCTCTGGAGCCCCCCGGTCAGCTGGTGGGTGAAGGTGAGATCGGCGGAGGTGACCCTCCCGTCTGTGACGAGACCTCACCAGTGTGTTGCGGGTGGTTGTGACATACTAAGCGTACGGTATAGTGTTCGGTTATCACAGCTGCATTCTTACTGTTTTTAAAGAACATCGGGTGATGCAAGATGGGAGCAGCTTCCCCGAAGTTGTCGCAGCAATCACAGCGCGGGTGCTGACGTTTAAACTGGCTGTGGGAACCGAGGCCCACTGTCTGCACCCACTTCGAATCTATCTGCCCATTCGAACAGCGGCTGGGGCAGCGGCAGAGCATCAACACACTGCCTACAGAGGTACGCCAGGCGATGCGCTTCTGCACGCAATGACCACGGAGCTCTGACAGCGGCGGAGCACGGCACAAGAGCTCCGACAACGGCAGAGCATGGCACGGAGCTCCGACAGCGACGGAGCACGACACGGCATCCCGACAACGGCAGCGCATGGCAAGGAGTTCCGACAGCAGTGGAGTACGGCACAGGAGCTCCGACAACAGCGGGGCACAGCAGTGACCAACAGACGAGCGCACCCAGGCCTCCTGACAGGCAGTAGCCGACAGGCGGGCACACCCAGGCCTCTCGACAGGTAGTAATCGGCAGGCGAGCAAATCCGGGCTTCCCGGCAGGCAGTAACCGACACGCGAGCACACCAAGCCCCTCGACAGGTAGTAACCGACAGGCGAGCACACCCAGACCCCTCGGCAGGTAGTAACCGACAGGCAAGCACACCCAGGCCTCTCGACAGGCAGTAACTGACAGGCAAGCACACCTGGGGCTTCCGACAGGCAGTACCGACAGGCGAGCACACCAGGCCTGCCGACAGGTACTAACACGAAATGCCACGCCATTCAAAGCACGCGAACTTCTTCGTCAGGCTCCTGCAACCAGATATTTCACAAGGACTGAAAGGAAAGCCCGAAAGAATATGTCACACCTGGCATCAAATTTGCAAATTGCAAATCGCTTGCCACGCCTATTTGTACAATGAATGCTCGAGGAAAAACGTCTCTGGCTATTATGACGGTGAACTTAAGCGCAAAAACTCAAAAGCAAGCGAATGTACTCCAGCTCGCTGCGAAAAAGCATTTATCGGGCCTAGTGCGTTGAAGGCGTACATCTAAAACACCGACACCCACGTAACCTCAATGATAACCTGTGCCAAGCATATGAGGCATTTATACCAAATATTCCTATTGCGGCGCGCGGCATCACGATCTGGCCACCACTATCGCAGACTTCCTTCCACATCGCGTTCATTCAAACCCGTGGGATAAAACACGACATTAACCAAAGCCTCGCCGTGACGCGCACTTAGGCTGGCTCGCTGCTTCAGCCACTCAGTGCCGGCCAGCGTCGCCTCGTCAGCGCGGAGACCCCAGCGGCAGGGCGTGACTTGCTCCGGGTCTGTGGTGCGCGTCGGTACCGTCATTCGGCAGGGCAGCCGAGTAACAGCGCCGAACACGCGGCAGGGCGTGACTTGCTCCGGGTCTGTGGTGCGCGTCGGTACCGTCATTCGGCAGGGCAGCCGAGTAACAGCGCCGAACACGCGGCAGGGCGTGACTTACTCCGGGTCTGTGGTGCGCGTCGGTACCGTCACTCGGCAGGGCAGCCGAGTAACAGCGCCGAACACGCGGCAGCTCGACAGCTCCCCGCACTGATTCCTCTTTCAACTTCAGAAAACAAACAGCGAACGCGAGGCGGCCGCGCGCGAATCTGCTCCGATGGCATCACTCGCCGTTTCTCAAGCCCTCTGACGGCTCCACTCTCGTCTTTCGGGCGCACAAATCGGCTCTGAATACCGGCTGAATAAGCCATCGGTCCGCTCCGTGTTTCGACGCGCGCCTGCGATATGTTTTCACTAGCGGCCGTCTGAAGGGCATCCGGGGTGCCGTGTTGTGCGGCTCGGACGCGTCCCCAGGGCGCATTCGCCAGGCCCCGGCGGTCCGGCGAGCCGCCGGTGCTCTCCCAAAGCTCCACTTTGCCGGCGGCTCGGCGCGAGCGTCGCAGGGGCGCTCTGAGCCGATTCTGGGACGGCTCCGAGCGAGACCAGGCTGAGCGGACCCTCCGTGGCGACGGCGGCGGCGGCCCGACGCCGCAGCTGGGAACGGGCGGCGGTCGCGCGTGGTCCGCAGGGAGCCACACCCCGGCCCGACCTGCGGCGCCGTTCGGCCCCTCCCCCCCCCCCCCCCTCGCCCGGCCGCTGATAAACAACGTTAGCCGCGGCCGGGACCGTCCGACGGTGGTCGGCACGCACCGCGGCCCGACGGCCAGTCGTTCCTCCGACAATAATTTCCCAGAAAAACATCGCACGTACAGCGGAATCGGGCCGGGAGCGCGGCCAGATTACGTGTCGGGCAGCGGGTCGTGCGGCGCAGGCGACACGGCCGTCCTGCGGCTCGGTCGCTGGCGTGCCGCATCGCCGGCATCAGACCGCCAGGCGCGACCGCCTCCGCCGGAGCACGCCCCAGAGAGACCCGGTGTACGCACGCGGAGACGGAGCAACAGATTGGCGACGTTGGCAGGCACACACCCAGTCCGGTCCACCGCCCATGACCTCGTTAGGTAACCACGGCATGCTGCACAGGACGGTTGGCTCTGGGGCTCACTAGATGGCGAGGACCCTGTTTACAACGCACCGACGAGACAGCCTGCGGCGGCCGGGCAGCCGCCTTACGCGCCTGGTTGTATGCCAAGTATCGCTTGCCCGAACGCCAAGTCCTGCATATCCAACGAGCGAGAGGGATGCCCACGCGTCCAACCAAACCACCCTGCCGAGACCTTCATATTGATCTGCAACTACCTTTGCTAAACAAACAAAAGGAGACAAATGTGATACATTTTTCACTTCAGCTCTATGCGAGCGAGATTTTCCAGCATCTGGACCCGTTTTAAAATAATCATGTGGAACGGCTCACGTCACAATCGATTTCAACTCATTATTTATCGCAGCAAAACACTGGCTTCAGTTGAAGACCTCTTTAAAGCCATCAGTCACTGCTTTGAACTACTTACAGGAGCCAACAGTCCCGCAGCACTTTCAAAAACGTTTCAACGGCGTAATACAATGCACGCTGCAGGCTTTCCTGACACTTCTACTAACGCATGGACGAACAAGACACCGGAGTCTGTTGTGCCAGTTGTGCCAAAATGTCAGCAGTAACTTCCAGAGTGCGGGCTCTAGAGCAAATCCTTTTCTTAGGGTAGGGACTGAAAAGCTGCCGTATGCTAATTTCCACAGCTTTACTTTGGGCGATTGTTCCACATTTGCATGGGGTCTCGCATCCAGACGGCCATCCTAATGATCATTTCCTACAGTTCACAGACATCAGCTTTTTAATATTTGAAATCCTCTTGTTTCAGAGTAAGGTGCAAATGACCTTATGCAGTCTTTGACGCATCGCTCATGGGAATATCACTTAAACATGTTTGACATATCAAAAGTACGTCACGCAAGAATCCCACCTCCCTGACTGTGTTGTGCTCAAGATCAACAACAAAGCATGGCTTCTGAAACATTCGTATTTGCGGTGACGCAGCACCCAGTGTACCAACGACAGAAGGCCAACGTCTGATAGACAGATTTCGCTGCTGACGGCACAGTTCTTATCAAGAACCGCCCTCCGCTATAATAACACGGCCATTTGGGGCATCTATTAGATATGACGGGCGTGAGCCTGATTCGAATAATAATAATAATAACAATAAGGGGGCGTTCCACATGTACAGGGGGGTTTGAGCTGAAAAAGACATGTCGGAGATCATTGGGTACAGTTCACAGCCCTGCCCTTCCTTAGACATAAACCTCTCTAGTTTCTGAGCCACACGCCCGCGAAAATGGGGAAAGTATCTCGGGGGGGGGGGGGTATTTAGAGGTCCCTTTGGAACTCATGACGTCATAATAACAGCACTCAAATCCTGCCAATTCATAAGCCATGCGACGATCAAGGCCAAGAAAAACATTACGGTCGAGGCGTTCACATCTGGCGTTCGTGAGCACGATTTACAGAACAACAGCCGTCAATCGGTTCTCAATCAATGTGCAAGGTACCATGACGTCATCAAACAATGATGCATTGAGGAGCACATTTCTTTATCACAGACATGGTGGTGTCTAGAACAGCCTTTTCTGCTTAAAAGTATACCATTAGTGGTATAAGTGAACTCGTTTCATCATATCCGATACTTATTTCAATACCTTTACATGTGAACCCCTCCCTTAAATATCATGACACTCCTCTCCCAATCAACGCCATCAAGAGTATCTCGGATTATGCTTGTTCCCACAAATGTGTTTAATCGAAGGGCTGCTAGAACTATATTTGGGCTTTGTGGTCTGATGCAAGATGCCATACCAACAATTGTTCAAAGCTGTTCGACAAGAGCTATGCAACGACGTTATTTGGTG